AGGGAGAAAAGCCGGTGAGGACACTGAGCCTTCCAGTGTCCTGGTTGGCTACAATAATGACAACTGTCATTATTTTGGGACTGAAATTCTCCTCATCCTATGCTACAACCACCTACCCTGCCTCTGAATTATCCTTGATGGAAACTTCGGCTTCTACCTCTGCCTAAAGTTTGTATTTGTAAAGACGTTAGCTTAGCTTCCGTGGATTCCTTTTTCTTTTCTTGGCAGGCTGTACAGTGATTAGCAATGGTGACTATTTCTGTAAGAGTCTTAATTTGCCAACCTACAGCAATTGTACACAGCTGTTCCTGGACTTTAGAAAGAAGTCCTTGGACAAAAGCGGCGGCAACTGCTTCTGGGGCAGTTTCAGCTGCATCTTCAATGCCAGAATGTCTTTCAAATACGAGTTTTAAGCGATCCATGTAGTCTGCTGGGGTCCAGGGGGCATGGACTGTGACTGTAGTTTCCCCATTTGGACCCTGCCCTGGGAGTTGGTGTAAAGGCATAAGACAAGTCTTTTTCATTTTTAAAGGTGGGACTGGACCATATTGGGGGTCGGACCTTAAATAAGAGGAGGTTGAGGCTTCAGGAGACAGATGCCATGTCTCCGGTGGCTGCGGGCATGCCCCAGGGGCAGGTGATGGTTCTTGAGTGATGGTTTCCTGATGGGGTGGGCTGATTCCGCAAGAAGAATCTATTTGGTTACTTTGAACTTCCTCGGGTTCAGATTGTGCCTGGAGTGGCACACTGAAAAAATTAATTATGTCTTCTACAGATTCATTCTCAGTCAATTGTGGATAAAGTTGTGTTGGTGCTGATGATGGGGGATCCCCTACTGGTGCATTTTTCTGTTTTAATTCCTTTATCTAAGATTTGAGTTTTTCTTGGGAGTCCTTAAGGCTCCAAACTTGAGATTCTTGCTGTCTTTTGGAAGCTTCTGTATACTAATCAAAAAATGTGTCCCACTGAGTCTGTGGTGTTTTACTGCCTCTTGACTCAAGGGCTCCACGGAGATGAATGATTTTACTTAATGAAATGTTCCCTCCAGGGGAAACTGCAAGCTAGAATCATCTCTGGTATACCAATTCCATTTGTCTAGAAACTTACAACTTTTATGTCCATAGTGTGTGTACATGTACAATGCTGGAGTCCCTTTTGGTGGAGCCAGTATGTCTTTGGACCCCCCACTACCTCTGGTTCTCTTTAAGGATTTATCACAGAGTTTACAGAAGTCTATATTAACAAAAATCAATTGGTTCAATCCACAGCATGACTCTCACCCTCAGAAAGGAATCTAAGGGACTGGAAAGGTCCAACTACCCTTTAGGATGATTTTTGTGGTTTGCTCTTAATATGGAGTGTTGCCTAGGTGTTTCATAACCTTATTTTTATTATTTTAGCCAGTTTTCCTGATACTGAGTAAAGCTCACAGCATCCTGTAATTTCCAGGATGATCCCTAGTGCCGTTTGCTAAAGATAAGTGTAATTTTATCAGAGAAGTCGAGTGTAGCTAAAGTAGCTGATTTCAGTGATGAATTCCATATTTCTGTTAGTAGTTCTGGTACCTCATTCTTTGATTCTTACATGTACTATTCTACCAACTGGTTTCTGTTTATTTACCACCCCATTATCTCACATTATCTTTTTCACGGTTAACTCTGTTCTGATAATAAGGATAAAATATAGATGGAAGGGAAGTGGAATTCCCTTTCGAAAGGAATTATGTCACTGTAATACTAATACCTCACACTTAGTATCATCTTCCATCTAAGCCACTTAAAAAATATTAGTTCAGTACTTTGAGTACTGAGCTAATATTTGTTAAGTAAACCTCACCAAGTCCCTTTCTATTGAGAAATAGCCACTGACAGGTAAAGTGACTTGACAAATATAAGGAGTGGTGTCACAGCTACAAAGGGATTGACGAAAGCCACTTCCATGTAGTGATCCCTGGTAACATCTCTACATGGCTCTACAAGAGCTCTGGAATCGACATGCCAAAGCACGCAAAGATAAAGATACGGACACCGTTTTTATCACATGAAAGAAGAAAGCTACAAATATAGCCCAAAACTCAAGCACACAGTTTAACTGCTAGACAGCAACATATTTTCTTATGAACATATTCCTTTGAGGGAATATAACTTCCATTCCCTCAAAGGTATGAACAAATAAATAAAAGCACAGTTTAGAGCTCTTTGGGGTATCGCAGTGAGCTATTAGAAATAAATGAATGAATCTGTTTCTGCTCATTTTTTAAAAAGGGATTTAAAAAAAATAAGGGATTTCAGCAGGACTATTTTTAGATATTATATTATTATTTCCCCTCCACGCAGAGAATGTTCCCGTATTATTTCCCCTCCATGCAGAGAATGTTATCTTAAACGTTTTACAACCTTCTATGATGGACAGGCAAGAGACAAAACCATAGAAGAGTATATACTACCACAGTTTATGAAGCAGGAATCAATAATGAAGTCTCACAAAAAATGCCACCTTCACTTGCCTCTCTCTCTTTTTTGATTGAACAGTAAATTAAGAATTTGGACAAAACCTAATATAAATGCAAAAATAATACTAGTCACACACACACACTACATAGAGCAACAGTACAGATGCTTGTTCTAAGTCTCCTGGAAAGGAAATAAAATGCAGTAATTTACTTGAATCAAGGCAAAGGAACATATTATTTCAAAATACAAGTGAAAGTCTTTCAAAAGGTCTCTTACCTTAGTTTGGTGCCAGGATGTCAGTGAGGAGACAGTCTGTATCTCAACCGATCACTCCGGGCATCTCTATCCGAGTCACAGCACCAAATTGTGGAAGAAATCAAACTTCGCGTTGTGGTTGTATCAGAATTGACAGAGCCATCTTGGTTTATTTAAAGCTATACAAGTGATCACAAGGAGGGTTCTCAAAGGAACTCTGACCTCTACAAGTTTACAAGCGTGTTTATACTTTAGACAGCAAGAAAAAATTCAGGGTTCAGACAAAGCAACCTTGAAAGAAACAGGAAGAAGTTGATCATTCGTTTGTCACATGTAAGCAGTTTACTTTTTCAGCAAACATATTGTTTTGGGAACAGCTATCAGTTTTGGGGTTTTTTGGTTCCTGGAAAGGAGGAGGTTAACAAGGATGACCCACCCTCCCAGCTAGCCATCCTCCCCTTTCCTAAATAGAAGGGAGGGTCCCTACCTCCCCTGTGCCATGGAGTTCCCTGAGGCAGATGCCTCTCTGGCAGGCTCTAGGAAGCAGGCAGAAAAAGAGACAGGAGTTGACAGAAAGGTTCAAGGGAATCCCTTGGTCAGTCATAGAGAATTGGGGCTGGAACAAATTTCTATTATTTTAAAGTGCTGCATCAATACCTTGGTTCCTTTATACCCCTCCACATAGGTCACAGAATGGGGTGGACCACCCGAGTGGCCGCCAGCTGTAGTGAAGCAGGGAAAGCGGCTGCAGGCAGAGGTTTCTGGGGTGGGGGGAGGCGGGCAGGAGGGGGCTGGGGGTGGTGTTGGACCAGGCTGGCCTTTCTTCTGGGTCCTGCCGGCTTCCCCTGGGTCCTACTGTCCCTGGCTTCTGTCATCTTTGACAGGCATCAGGAGCAAATAAATATTAATTATCTAAACTTTTTAGGTGCCCCATGGGCCGGATAGAATGGCCTGGAGGGCCAGATCTGGCCTGTGGGCCATATTTTGCCCACCCCTGGTCTGTTTGCATGTCTGGAATGCTAGCAGAGAGTGCAGCACTTCTATAAAAAAAAGTCCTCTCAATACAGAGACCCTTTACTTTTCTGAGAATGGGGTTTTTCCATGCTGTCACCCTGACACTGCAGCTGTGCAGAGAATACTGAACCCAGGGAAAAGAGGAGACTCTGTAAACCTCTGGAAATATCAACCTGACCCTGTGTAGAACAGCTGCTGAGCTCTGGCTAAGTGGAGGAGCACAGCCTTTTTAAGTAAAACTTATGGTAAAGAGCTGAGTGGCAAACTAAGCAGAATGTGAATGATCGGGGATCTACTGTACACTGCAGCACCAAATGTTCAGAAAATGGGAATATCAGCACACAGCCATCCCCTTAATACCCTAAAAGCCATGGGAAGCAAGTGTCACCACTAAGCACAGCCAAGGGACTGATGACAGAGGCTAGAAGTCTGGAAGAAGTGTGGTTGGAAGAAGGCTGGTTGGAAGTGGAGAAAAGAAGCCTGAGAGGGCAAGGATTTTATAGCAGGCCTCGAATAGCTGAAGAGTGGTTATAAAGAGGACAATGATAGAATACTCTGTGGCCACAAGGAACAAGACAAGGAGGAGGGGGGTCTTAGATTACAACAAGGGATATTTTGGTTGCATATTAGAGAGGATTTTCTAACTCTGAGGGTGGTTAAGCATGGAATTATCTAGAGAGGTTGTAAGATCTCTATCCTTGGACATTTTAAAAGCAGATTAGACAAGCACTTGCCTGGGATGCTTTAAACAGGGATGATCCTGCCTTGAGCAGGGGGCTGGAACTAATGTCATCTCTGAGGTCCTTTCCACCTCTAACTTGTTGTGACTTTATGAAAAAAGACAGAAAGGTCCCATGCTGGACCGCTGCAGCAAACCCTGCCAGGGCTGAGACAGGAATACAGCACAAGGACCAATGATCTGGGGAACCCAAATTGTTCTTCATGAGAGCTAACATGGTGCAGCCCAACTAACCAATGATAAGCAGGGCACAGAAAGATTTAAAAAATATGTCAAGCAAGGGAAGCAGCCCCTACAACAAAGGAGCCACAGACGTGATGCCGCAGACACAGGCAGCAAGTGCTAGTCCAACCTCCTAGGATCCACACACTAAATGGCACAGGCAACTGTTTCAGATGTGGCATGAGAGCTACCAATTCATGACAGCAGTGGGGATGACACTGAAGGCAACTTTGCAGAAGTGGCAAATGTCAGACTCACTGAGACTGATGGGGCCAAGGACAGGTCTTTTGGGAGCCTCAGATGTTTAATGTAGAACCATTAGAAGAAACAAGGAAACTGAGCAATGCAGAGAACCAAGAGGACATAGCCTAACACAATGAAGGCAGCAACAGGGTGGCAGCAAGATGCCCCCTCAAAGTGGTAACAGCAACAGTAAGCAAGAGACCGACTTCAAACTCAACACATGTGAAAGAGGGTAAGAACTAAAA